TAATGAATTTTAATAAAATATTCGGTAATTTTAAGTTAATTAATAGAATTTACACATATTATAAACGAACTCGAACTATATTATGAATTGAAGAAAGTCGTCTTCTGGGTTTAGGCACCGTGTATTCTTTGTTTTACCGACGTTTCGGAGGAAAGTAGCGCCTCAATCTTCAGAGCAGTTGAATGGCTTGGAATGCGGAGTGCAGTAGCTGTGGTGATAGGATGTGAAAGGTGCTGCTTATATACGAAGTAGGCAGGTGGCCAGTTCTACGAACAGACTGACGGTGTAGCCATGGTCTCTCCACTATCTCCAGTCATCGCCAACTTCTACATGAAGTATTTCGAGGAGAGGGCGCTGGACTTGGCCCCACTCAAGCCCCTATGCTTGTTTCGATATGTAGACGACACTTTCGTCATCTGGCCCCACGGACCTGACGACCTGAAGGATTTCCTGAACCACTTGAACAATATCAACTCATGATTTCAGTTCACCATGGAAACCGAAAGTGAAGGCCACCTCCCCTTCCTAGACATAGATATTTACAGAAGACCCGACGGCTCCCTGGGCCATAGAGTATACCGCAAACCCACACACACAAACCTCTATCTCAATGCCAAGTCCCATCATCACCCTTCCAGTAAACAGGCAGCTCTGTCCACACTGGTACATAGGGCCAGAGCTCTGTGCGATCAAGATAGTCTACGTGTGGATTTGGAGTTCAGACGCAATGACTATAACGACCGGCAGATCGACAGGGCCCTCAACCGCCATCCCAACAACAATAAACCTGGTGACCGCATAGAAACTGTCGCCTTCTTGCCATTAGTCGGGACTATATTCAACAAGATCAGCAGAGTGCTGTCCCGACACAACAACGAATCAGTTGGCCTGCCCCCAAACAAAATATCTAATTTCCTCCGGCCTGTCAAGGATCACCTGGGACTGAGGACACCGGGAATTTACAGATTTCGATGAGTGCTGCAAGGTCTACATCTGACAGACGTGCCGTTCGGTGGACACAAGTTTGAAAGAACATCAACGGCATCTACGATTAGAACATCCGGACAAGTCAGCCGTAGCTGAACACAGCATCGATCTAGACCACCGTATCCAGTTTCACAAAACCACCATAATCACCAGTAAGAGCCGTTACCTAGATCGCTTAATCCTGGAGGCCGTTGAAATCGAGCTCCATCCTAACAACATGAACAAGGAAACAGGGTTCAGTCTCAACAAGTCATGGAAGCCACTCATCTCTTCCATCAAGAGAAATCCTACAACCTACCCCAGCTCTTCGAGATGTCATTGACGTCAGTAGCCTGTCTTCAACCAACCCGTTCTTCTTGTCTACCGCACGTCCTAGTGCTATTGACCTCAAGTTTCCTAGATTCACTGGCCGGTTCCCCCCCCCCCTCTTAGCACACTACATCATATGAACTTTAAAGCTCTCAACAATTTCGACAGATATGGTAGCATCTCTTCCCTCAAGGGAATCCAACTAGCCACACCAGTTCTTCGTCATGTCATAGACGTCAATAGCATGTCCCCAAACTTCCGGTTTTTCTTGTCTACAATACTTCCTAGTGCTATTGACCTCAAGGTTCCTGGATACTCTGGCCGTTTCTCATCCCTTACCCCCTTAATCAACACACACACCATATATGGTCTTAATCGCTCCCCACTACTCCCATTGGTCCGTTCTCCCTACCACCCCACCTGCCTACTTCG